TGGACAGGATTGGTAACGTTGGTACATTTTTCCTTACTCCGACTGATAACGCACCGATCTGTTTGAAAACATTTTAAGATAATTTTACTCACTTTAGAAGCATGACGCCATCAATAATGATCATCTTGCACTGATGTTCACAAATATAGGTAGAGTAAAGGCCAGGGGATCATCAAAATCATTAGGATGCATCATCTGGGAACCATTAACAACACCTCACACTTCAGTCCCAATCCATCTAACAGATGAGTGTTCATGGGATATTTCACAGAAAATGGACCAAAGCAGTAGAATAAATGACTGACAGTCATCACTAGACTAAACCTTCTAGTGACCTTTTCGCTGCCAGGACATACTCTCCACCCACTAGGACACCGTGGCTTGCAGCCAGAGTCAGAGCAGCACTTTTAGGTCTCCCTCTTTATTCTCTTCTGTCTGGGGTGGCTCCAGAAAGCCTGTGTGTGTGTGTATATGTTTGTTGAATCTGCACAGCAGGCAGGGGCTGGGGCCATTAGTGCAAGCTTTACTGGGGGCATAGCACAGGCCTTTCATCTTGGCCAAGGTTATAGGTTTGTGCCCCCAGAACAACAATGCACCACAGGCTAGATCAAAAACAGCAGCAGAAGCAACAGTGTGTATCCATGTGTGTGTGTGTGTGTGTGTGTGTGTGTGGGAGTTGAGCACTTAGTAAAACTTTCATCACAGTAGTTCATTAGCTAGTGGTGGGTGGTTCTTACAAAAATGCACATTAGGAGAGGAAGGACTGCTTCTATGTTGCATTTTGTAATTCCTGATGTCTAAAGCAAGTGCATGGGTTTACAAAGGTTTCTAGCGCCAATTTATAAACAGAAAAAATAGAAATCTTCACATGACCCCCAGCAGGTTCTTAAAACATCTAAAGCCTGCTAATGAGATAAATAACAAGACTTCAGGGACCTTAATCATTTAATGATAGCTTTATAGGCTCTTTGATCCAAGTAAATATATGTGAAAATGTTACTCTTTTACTGTGAGTCCTATGATACACAGCAGTTCCTCATAAGCACAAGACCTGCTACATCTACCAGACAGTCGCAGGTACCAAACACACTTGTACTCCTCAACAGAAAAAAGAAAACAATTGTTCATTGTAAATGGTTTAAGCATATCCCAGTGTGTTCCAATGGGACCTCTCCTAGATTTACAGTTAAGATCACAAAAAAGACATGACTTCAGCTACTATGTTTCTGGGTGGCCATAGCCAGACACACTGTGCCTAATTACATCTGACTCTATTTACACTTTGTGTAGTTAGAGATGGATGATATCAGCAAAACAAGTTATTTGCAGAGCAGTAACGGGCATATTTTAACACTTGCTCAAAACATTTTCTTCTAAAAAGTATCTTCTTAAAAATAAGTGCAAGTTCTTGTGATAGAGGTCTGCTTACGCCACAGGTAGACAAAGCACAGGCCTGACTGCTTTTATGCTCTGCATGAGTGCCACTTTAAAACCTATTAACATACTGTACGTCAATGGAACTAAACATTTATTTGAAGGATGGAGTTTAATCCGTTCCAGATGTGTCCTGCTGTACGGTGACAGAGGCGGATTCCATGGTGTACAATAAATAGGACAACATTCTATGGTACATTTGTGACCAAATTGGTGTATTCATCATTCTCAATGAAAGCATCTTTATTTATGAAAATAAGCAAAGGGTGTGTTATTTTCATGTTCATTCAAGTAAACTTAAGTCAAATTGAAGCACAAAAACAGAAATACTGCAATCAGAAGAACCCGATACTTGTAATTTTACTCTTCTCATCGACTTGAACTCACCTTGTTTGAGGTTGCACTCTGTGGAGAGCCTTCTCTTGACAAGCCTGGAATTTTATCTAGAGAAACAAGGGAAACAAAAGTTAAGTGGGGAGTAGGCTAATGTGTAGAGGAAAAAGATACTAGAGAACGAGGATAACAGCAGTAAGCAGGAATTCAGTGAAAAACAAAAAGAATATTTATGTTTGAAAGGTGGCTATGTAATGCTCTATAAAAGGTGCTGACATTCAGTTCCAGAATCCAGAACCAAGTACCTAAACTAGAACATCTGGAACAATAAAGAGACATGGCCACCACGATGCTTCAAACTCCAGTGGGTTCACAACTGCCCTCACTGCTGACAGCACTTCTTCTACAGTCACTCAACTTTCAGTTTGTTCTTCAACCAATGGAAACCATCCTATATTTGTAATCAATTCCTGCCAACAAATATGAACTCTAAGCACCAAGCAATGAACAGAAATACCCCAGAATGGAAGCTTTGCCTTCAGGAATATCCATCAGACATTCTATACTCTTTCTTTCTTCCACACACACACACACACGACAGAGTGGCACCTTTATAGGGCCTGACAAAGTGGCAGACAGAGCAAGGAACAATGCTGGCTGCTAGACCTATTAGAAACTCTGTCTCTCTCAGGGTGCAGACCAGGAATAGGCCTAGTTTAAAAACCTCTGTATATTTCTACAACAGTTCCTCTGCATGTCATCGCATCTTACTTTCCTTTATTTGAATTAAAAATATCTGATGCCAGCAATGCTACAAAGAGTTCTCCGTGTAGAATTTGGTGTAAGAGTACTACATAAATTCTCTATTTTCTTAGTTAAGAAAATAAGGTAGAACAACTCTGCCAGACTACACTGGGTGCATCTTTTCTGCAACAACTATAGTGAACTGTACTTACCGGTCTTGCTCTGAGAATGGATGTCTTCGTACCCTGTAGGGAGATCAAATCATAATGTGTGCACAATAACCAGGCTTTCTTAACATACAACAAAGTAGCAAGCACACCCACTAAAAAATATTATTGATGTCATGTTCTGCTTTTAAGAGGTTACGATCATGCATTTCTGACTTTTTAAAACACCATCTAGCCGCAGTTATAATTTTGCCATATTAGCAAAGAACTGAAGATGGTAGGAGACCACTTGTGGAAACAAAAGAACTTGAAAGGTTTAGAACTACATAGAGGGAGATACTTCAGTACCAATGTATTTTAAAGCTCATCAGACTCAAGTTTTATTCTTTGCATGCTGGGAGATTAGTTTTGTAAATCAATACAGTTCATGCATGTCCAGTGTCAGTAAGAACAATAAAATGTATAAATCTGAACTGTTATTTCTCCAAATACTATCATACAAGTACACTGCTGTACACATTTGATACTCTAAAATCTGTGTTTCAACACATTATCAGAATTATTTCCAGAGCAGACAAACTGGATAAAAATAATTTTTAATCAGTGTGACAAACCAAATCACATTTGACAGAGAATATGGAATTATCCAAGAATATCTTGCTAATCTGGTCTGGACAACAGAACTTTACAAACGTCAACTTTTCTCTCCAGAAAATAAAATGTTACAGACCATGGAAAGTGCTAATGTATCTCTATAACAAGCAACAGAAGTGGTTTATATGAAAGAACCCAATCACAGGAAAGTCACCACTAGGTACTAACCAATATTAATGCAAAGAGACATGTGAGGAACACCAGGTCATCTTATCATCACCCAGGTCCAAGATTGTTCATGTGCACCATGTACAGACCTGAAGTGTCATGTCCACTCTGTTGAGAAAAGATCGCCCCCCAGAGGTGTTCAGCAACACCCGCATGAGCCTCTGAACCGTCCGCACCTGAAAAGTGAGCCGCCCATATAATCACTCGTGGATAGACAGCAAACTAATAAGAGATCTGGTTATCCTAATCTGAAAAGGGTTTTAAAAGAGCTCCATGTTACATCAGAGGAGGGGAAACTAACAGTTCTACATACTCTTGCCTTGCTGTGAAGGAAATGGCAGGCTCTTCACTCTGTCTGGTGAATAGCCTCTGCTGCTGACGCTGGAACCAGAGCGACTGTGGGGGGAGCGGGCCACCTCACGACGAACAGGAGAACGCTCTCTGAGGGGAGGGAAAGGGGCTGCCTTTCTCCTGTAGTGGTCTCTGTCCTCTCTGGACAAACACAGAGAACATATAAGCTGTCATAATATAAATGGCCCAAATATCAAAGAAGTAGAAAATTAGCTCATCTTTATCATCTGATCAAGACATCTCCAGTTCTAAACCAGTATCTGCCACAACAGTTTCCAAGAATGTATACACTTCTCTTATCTGCCACAACAGTTTCCAAGAATGTTTACACTTCTCCGTCCTTTTTTTGTGCTGACATAGAACAATGCTGCCATCTAGCACCTGAAGATAACTACACACAAAAAAAACTGAATCCTTGTATTGCAAAAGAGGCCCACAGTGTGTTACAGCTATAGTGATGTTCAACCAAAATATAAGCAGATTGTTGATTTCACAAATTCTTCCCCTCCTCTCTGTTCTACTACAGATGCATTAGAATCTCAGGCAAGGATGGTACATGAATGTGTTAAGCAGTGATTAAGTATGTATTCACAAGTACCCTCTGTCCAGGTTGAGGATAGCCTGCACTAATGTGTCTTCCCCACTTTCTGGGAGGGACCTGGGTGCTGGGTAGATAACCTGGCTTCGCACGCCATGAGGAGGTGGTACACGGGTCCTAAGGGGATAAAAACGCATATGGTTAATTTACAAATACAGAGACAAATAATAGATAACACAACAACAAATATCATTTTTAAATCCATGATTCTATTTTAATATTATTTTATTATAAACGCATCAGATAAAAAAAAAATCTCAACATGCATATAAGAGTAGCCAGGGAAGGTTACGACTGAACACACAAGATAATTCCATGAGGTGGAACTGCTTCTGTGCTTGTTCTCCATTAGGATTTAACCTGACCTGAAACATTTATCCAGGCTAAACCGATATGACCAGAAAGAGAGAATCTTCTCTTAAATGTAATTTCAAATAATAGCAATAATAACAGTAGAAAGGTGATACTTCATGCCTTTCTCTAAAATTTCACTATATCCAACAGTGCAACTGCAAACACAGCACTGGTGTGACCTGAAAACTGATCAGCTAACAAAGTACAATTAGTGTTTCTCGCCACGCAAATACACCAGTCTGAGTCTTTACTTTACTCCAGAACTCAGAAAATCTGGCAGTTGAAATTAGTAGCCTATATATGGACACTGTTCATCTACCATTGCTAGACTGAACAACTTCCCAAAAGTGTAGCATCAAGTAAAAAATGTGAACTGGGTGAAAAAGGCCCATATGGACCATATTCAGCCATGACTCATGACTGCTGCTATGTAAACAAACATTTTAAAAAAGAGATAGTGAAAATACAGGCCTATTAAAGACAGAGGACCTGTGCATAGAAAAGATATGCCTATGTTGTGCAAAATAACATCATCCCATTTTCATTACCACTTGAGCCTTAGAGGAGAAGCAGTTTACCCAAACTCCAAAGATCGCCCTGCATGTGGGTCCTCCCTGGGTACTCTGTAAGGATAGTCCTCCTGTGACACACAGTAGAGAACACAGAAAAATAACAATCAATGAAAGTGATCCTTTCCATGATTTCTTCACATGATTTAGTAACAACCTAAAATACAGATGTTCCAAAATATCTGCTTCTAAAATCTGCATTTAACTTGCATCTAAACCCAGCCCCTACTGTTTATGTAATGTTATCTCTTGGACTCATTGCTGTCAAACATTACAGTCACTGAGTTAGCCCATCAGCAATCAAAATACATCAATGGATAAAAAAAATACTACAGCAACAAGGGAAGGAAAACAGTGGGAAAAATAATGAAACATAATAACAAAAGCCATCATAACAGAATTTCACAGTCCAATAAGCACATGCATGCCACAGTTAACAGCGACAATGTAACACACACACTGTGTTTAAGACCTTTCACCATGAGCCTTCAACTGCGGCACCCTCAGCTGGCCAATTAAGGGTGCATGCTTTTAAACAAAACTACTACATAAGAAAATGAAAAATACACCTCAAATGGTCTAAGCGTACAGTGATTGTTACATCCTTTGCTTTCATAGGTTTCTTACTATATAAAATGTTTAGGAGCCTTGATGTTAAATAATATCTTCAGTCTGTCAGTTGGTTTTATTTAAATAGGTTTGATATAGTTTGTCAAGTTGCATTGGAAGTTTCAAGTTGTTTGTATGCACACAATAAGCCATGCCACACAATAAACACTTTGGCTTGACTTGATGCTGTAATGTGCGACATATGGCACAAGGAAGGTTGTCCCCATGGTAAACCCTCTGGTCTTCATGGTAAGTACGTGGGCCGCCACCATTCGGGAAGAAACGGGGACCCCCTTCGTATTCGTACCCGCCACGACTGTATTCATCCTCTGGCCTGCCAAAGGGGGCCCTCCTCTCCACAGCTCCTGCTCGGGGGTACGGACCCTATAAGACCAGGTACCAGTTTACAAATTGCCATTTTCAGCTAACCTTTGTTCTTAAAACCTTTTGTTGGGTCAGTTTTAATTTGATAGCTTTTGCTTAAAGATGTGCCACCTGAAATGAGACATAGCTTAGTGCAACCTGTTGGCTAAATCATCTTCAGCTGATGTAGACAATAAATCTCTAAAAAAAAAGATTTTTCTCAATTAAGCAGGCTGTGTAATTCTCTACACTGTTCAAGAAATTATGACAACAAAAATATTCTATTAAAATAAATGTTATTGCTTGCAAGAAAAATAAATATTCCTAAATAGACTGTCATACTACTTAGTAAACACTCACCGATCTTTCTGTTAAAAAACGCTCATCATACACCTCCCGTAAACTTCTTTCTCTCCTGTATGTCACTGGAAAAGGCAAAAAGTAAAAGATACTGTACATGTATCATTCAAGGGGAGTGCTACAAAAAAAAAAATAATGCCAATTCCTGTACTCAGTGGCAGATTCTTACATAACCTCTAGAGTCCTGAGCTTTGGAAACCCAAGCTGTGCGGTCCTCATATGAGGACGCAGGGACTCTAGAGGTTAAAGTTGAATTCAGCCCACTTCTTTGAGCACTTTGAAACAATAGTATTACTAGATATGCAAGAACATAACTGTAGATAGTGGAAACCATAGAATTGGATAACTGTGTTTGTCTGTTTGCTAATGTGAAATCATTCCATCAGGCTGTGTTTATTAAATTACATCCCTATTTGCTGTCATATCACAGTAGCTATTCTTCCTGGGGTCCTTTTACAAATAATATACATGCGGCAACACTAATTACCACCCTTCTACAAATATTACAATCATACAGACATACACAATACAATTCAACTAACACTGAAACGTTGATAAGGCAAACACAAATACTCCATAAACTAATTAAAACTACAATAATTACCAATGTTTTCAAAGAAAATTCTATTTTATCTGACATCTTTCCAGTTGATACCTTTTTAACGGTTATGTAAAGCTAGAAGCACTATTTTCTCACATAATCCATCTAGATAATGAATTCCATTCATGCACTACTCTGCACTTTGTTCATGCTCAACTGTTTAACAATGAAATTATGTCACCGTTAACTTTTTATACAATAAAATATAAACTATAATATATATCACACTTGCAAAAATACACCTACTGTACATTATCCTAATTTATTAATTTCAGATGTACCCTTGCATTAAGAACGTTTTCTTCTTTGCTGCTAAACCCAATATCTAATAAACTAGAAGAGCTTCTTAATAACTTACTTTCTGACTCGAGGACTTCTGTGAACAGTGTGGTACAGAGAAAATATGACTTTCAACACAATCTGAAAGAAAATTAGGTAAAAGTAAAAAAGGTATTACAGCAATACAGGACATACACGTTTGAAAGCAACAGTTTTTGGAATAGTCTTCATAATTAAACATGTAAAATAAACGCGGGAAACAACTCTATTTTGCCACAAGTGTAACAAAGAATAAAATTAAGTGAAATGAAAAGCACCGTAAGACAATGCGATGTGATCCTGCAACTGAGCCAGCTAAGGTTACTTTCTGTAGACTTGACTGCCAAACGGATGAATGTCCATTTGACAAACAACACCTTACTCAACACAGCACCAGTTTGAGGGCAGCCAACCGACCAAAGTTACAAAAATGAACACAACATTTTCTGTGCTGTTCATGCTAATTACTTTAGGTTTATGCAGAACGGAAAGCTAGCATTACTATTTACTTAGCCTCCTTATAGGCTGCAAACATCCGCACGCTTTCTTTAGTGGCTAGGTTAGCTTATCTTCAGTAACGTTACAATACAAAAATTACAAATAATATTTGACTGGGGACTCGTTTAGATAAACGCGTACTAAATAACGTGTACACCAAGTAATTTATTACACGCAAGATTGCAAAACAATCTCACCTTCCTCTATCGTTTTGTTAGCCTAGCCTTTCCCGGTAGATAGCGACATGGACATGCACGATGGCTGGTTTTATTGGACAAGGAATACACCTGCGTCATCAAATTGCGACGTATAAACATGGCATTTGTTTCTGGTTGATAAACGTTTGCTTCATGTAAATACACAAATAATGTGATTTTTAAACAACATTGGATATCAGTATAGCGGCTAGTGTTGTAAAGTCATTTGGTTAATGTACCCAGCTTCCTGATGAAACGATAAAATGTTTAATGCTACATGTAATTAAGCTAAGTCTAGCAAACAAATATAACGTTAATTGTGTTGTTGTTTTATTTCAGGGTCCTTTATGCATCCAGTATGAGCGGAGGGTTGGCACCAAGCAAAAGCACCGTCTATGTGTCTAATCTGCCGTTCTCTCTGACCAATAATGACCTACACAAGGTAATTCTTTAGTTCTCGCAATTGTTGACAAGGGTTTATTAGTGTTATTAAATACTACTGATCGTGCTGCACTTTGTTTCATTTCAGCTATTCACCAAATATGGAAAAGTTGTAAAGTAAGTAATGGGTCTGTTAGATTATATTTTTATTATGTATATCTTACTGCATTGTGTAAACCATACTGTAGTCAAGAATCATATAACTGACAAAAATATGCACAATACAAAGACTCTGTCTGTTCTAATTTAATAGTTATTCCAAGTTTTAAAATGCGTATTTCTTACCTGTCAATGCTTATTTCAGGGTTACAGTAGTTAAAGATAAAGACACTCGCCAGAGTAAAGGGGTGGCGTTTGTTCTCTTTCTGGACAGAGAATCAGCCCATAACTGTGCAAGAGCAATAAACAACAAACAGGTGAGTCAAACCATCAGTTTTCACATATTGTGTTTCACTGAAAATAACTGTTTCTTACCTGTACTGTATATTCACTTGTCAGAGTTACAAATGTGTTTTTCTCCTAGTTGTTTGGCAGAACCGTGAAAGCGAGCATTGCAATTGACAATGGCCGAGCAGCTGAGTTTATAAGGAGACGCAACTACATAGACAAGTCTAAATGTTATGAATGTGGGGTCAGTACATTTATTTATTTATTTTGTCGTGTGAGATGGTCGAGTTTTATTGATGGATAATTATTTTTTGTTTTGCTGAATGAAATAAAATATATTAAAAAGTGTCATTTGTCATGCCTCTCTGAGCTCCTTATGGTGTTTTGTTGTTCTTGTGGTGTTTTGTTGTTTGCTCTCTAATGCTGCTGGAACACTGGAATTTCCCCATTGTGGTATTAATAAAGGCTTACCCTACCCTACCCTACCCTACCCTACCCTTGTGTGTTTTTAAATGCTCAGGACACAGGTCATCTAAGCTATGCATGCCCCAAAAACATGCTCGGAGAGAGGGAGCCTCCAAAGAAGAAGGAAAAGAAAAAGAAGAAAAAAGCTCCACAACCTGAGCACGTGTAAGTATTTTATAATTAACATTGTGAGAAATGCCTAATTTACACTCTGCCCTTTTTGTAATTCCTACTTCTTTTTCCTCACAGTGAAGAAGAAAGTGAAGAAGAGGGAGAGGACCCTGCCTTAGATAGTCTAAGCCAAGCAATAGCTTTTCAGGTACTGTAGAAAACCATTTACATAAACTCTGTAGACATGATTTGTTGATTTATATTATGGAAAGTTTGTGCCAATTTCTGTGCCCTTGTGACCTAAATATCAGTTGCAACATAAATACAACACACTACCTCAAAAAATAAAAAAAAAATGAGGAGAGGAAGAAGATAATATGAACCTCCTGCATTTTAAAGCATTAATTTTAATCTCTATGATTGTCTTGTTTTTGTGTCCTCTAGCAAGCTCGTATCGACGAAGAGAAGGAGAAACAGAGAAAGGCTCAAGAGGATGGTTCCCGTGCCTCAGCATCCTCAGACTCTAAGAAACCAAGGATCAAAAAGAGTGCATACTTTAGTGATGAGGAGGAGCTCAGTGACTAATAATAATAATACATACCGGTTTTATGAATTTCACCGACAAACTGTTTGACAAATAAGTGGTTGTCGTTTGTGAAATGTTTTTGTGTTACAGATTCCATTTACATTTTTTTTATTTTTGTACATATAGCTGAAACATTTTTATGCTTCTAGAAATTCTGTGTAATTGTTCCTGTGCTGATTGATTTGTTGTTTGTGGCATTTTTATTTCAGTCAATAAAATCTCATTAAGTATTGACAAACAAAAATAACTCTGGTCACTTTCGGCTTTTCCCATTTAGGGGTCGCCACAGCGAATCGTCACACTGACGACTCGTATGTTGACATTTGGCACGTGTTTTATGCCGGGTGCCCTTCCTGACACAACCCTGATTCAAACCCGGGCCGCAGCAGCGAGAGCGCTGGGCCTTAACCTTTAGCCTACCACGGACTGTTGGTTATCTTAGTAACTGCAAAGATCAGGTTAAAAACCCTGAAGAAGAAATTCAGGTCACTGATGACTTGTTAGTTCAATGCAATTAATAGGAATAGGAAAGTTTTAAATAAGTTATCAATCTACTCTTTGTATTGTTTCTATATATTGTCTTTGTTTTTGTTGTAAAAAATGAAACTGGCCATTTATTTGAAATGTAACAAAAAAGGCAAGGTTTTGCCTCTTTTCTACATTACAATAAAGCATGTAGTGATTTATCAAAACTGGGAAGGCAAATTCTGAATAACTTGCAGTGAATCAAATCTATCATCTAAATATAAACTGGCAGCCTCAGTTTGTTCACTTGGGATTTTGGTCTTTGATGTTTGCTTGCATCAACATGCAAATATAGTGAGAGATTCCCCGATATTTTATTATTCTTCTGTGATCTGAAGTGCTGCACAATTTACACAATCTGAGACAAATGTGAATATAAAGAGAGGAAAAGATTGATTTCACCAATGAAAAGAGCTATTCATGGCTCTAAGGAATGAGCTCTCTTTATTAAAGTGGGCTGTATTAGACACACAGACCTCCATGCAAATTGCATTTTCATTAGGTTTGCAAGAAAAGGGGCTATATAATGATGTAGCTAATTTGTGCAGAAACAGTAACTTATGTTCCTAACTACTGTGAACTATGTAATGACGATTTCTGATGTACCTAATATATCAATAAACACTGTTTTCAAATGCAAATTTGGGTGTGCAGAGTTTTGCCTTATGAGCCTGAACTTAAGTAAAGTGAGCCTGCATGCATTGTTGAAGATAAACAGCAGTTATTGAGTCATTCACCAGATGGAGCTAAAAGACACAAGACATATGAACAAATGAGTGAAAATACAAAATTGTGTACGCATGCACGTGTGTAGGAAAGTGATTAATAACAAAGCCAAATTTTGTGCATAAGACAGTTTTTTGTTTGAAATTTGTTATTTTCTTATTCAGACATGTAATAAACAAGTTCACACATTTTAAACAACTGAGCATGGGAAAGCAAAGCAAATATCAACAAATGACACTAACACATTTAAGTGTCTTCCATTTTTGCCACAACCAAATAATAAATGTCTGTGCAAAGTCCACACACCTAGTCCCAGCTAGTGTGGTGAACCTATGGGAGTACGTCTCTGACACATTAAACCATATTAACAAACTAAGAGACATGGCCTGTCCCACAATATACTGAGACCATAATATTATCATGCCATGACAATTCCCATGATGTGTGTTAAAATGTTAAAGTAATCTTGACATTAACACTGGTATAATGGATACTACAACCACATCAAAACATTGTACAATATTTTAGAACCATTCATTTCATCTGTGTAGGTATTCAAACTGGTTTTATAAGTCATTGTATTGTTAGGTTGATCTATATTTGTTCTGCTGGGAGTTCACTATATACCTTCTCCATTTTGTTATGTCAAAGTAAAGAAATTCAGTTTCCATCATCTGTTCTGCTCATAAATGTCAAAACTCTTTCACCGCTGTACAGGCACCATGCTGAATCCAACCTGGGTCCACTGTGGGTGTAGAGTAGCATCAGCACACTCTGGTTTCGCATTGAGACATTGAGCAGGTGCAGGCCTGTTTGTGCAGCAGCGATGGGAGGAAAATACTGGTGTAATTTAGAGCTACATCACTTTTTATCTCCTTCTACTGAGATCAACCTAGGTTGAAATGAGCTTGTTTGAGAAAGTAACTGAGTAAGTAGCTGAAATATGATGACATGCATTTGTAATAAGAAATGTTGCCATATTTGCAAAATATTCTCAACTTTAGCTGTTATAGTTAATATGCTAGCAATTAATTGCTTATTTGCATATTTAGCTGTACGAGTGGAGCTTATATTTCCGGCTTCTTGAGCAAGTTAAGTCCAGTATTCACCTGCCCATTTGCTCTGGTTTGTACTTAGCATATAGCTGGTTAAGAATTTTTGCAGTTTCATGTTGTGTAACAGCTTATCTAAACTACTTTGCTGGGCATGAATGGTCTATGGTTGGTCTACGTGAGGGTCAGAAAACCTACATGTTCGGCTTTTCACATTATTAGTAAGTAATGTGATTCTATGTTTATATCAGAAATATCACTTAATGCTGGTTTATGTTCATGGTTGAATGGCAGTCAAGAGAGAATAACAAAATCCTGCTTTTACAGTATCTCTTGCTTAGCTGATTCTGTGCTGACACCTGGGAGTAATATAAAAGGGGAGTAGTATAGGTTACTGGGACAAACTGAAAACAAAAGACACCAATATTATCCTTTAAAATCACACATCACACCTTCATTTAAAAGTGGGCTTTTCTCAAAAACTGCCAGGGGTCTCTATATGGACATAACAAGTATAACCTGCACCAAACTGTATGGAAAACACCAAATGGTCCCAGAAGGAGTGTATCCACTACGCTGTCAAAAAAACGTCCCACTACAGCAGAGGCAGTCCACAATTAAACACCAGGCATATCAAGATCAAGAGCAAATGTTCTCCGTCAAGTTGAAGGTTCAGTGTAGGTACTTTGTTCTACATGTTTTAGGTTTATAACAGACAGGAAAAGAAGTTTTAATTCCACATGGGGGAAGAATAGGTCACTCTGCCTGTCACTGAAGGTGACATCAAGGGTGGGGCTGCACATTTGTTTAATATAGATGTAAATCATAGTGGATAAAGTGTCCAGCACACTGTCCAAAATGTTCCTTGTAATGTAGACTACTGCATTTTCCAAGATGAAGCAAACAGTGTTTCATATTACTTTCTAAATGAAGAATTCCAGTGCTGTGGAGAATCTGTGAACAAACTTGCCAAATCTGATGGGCTGGCACTTCATTCTCTGACAAATCAGTTTCAATTCCTATTAAACTAAAATATCCAGGAGAAAGTAAGCAAAAACTATTTGAGTCAGTATTGTGCAGCTCTAACATAGAGACAGAATGCTCCTATAGTGATCTATGGACTTTCAGGGGAGATGTGGGTGGAGGGTGGGCGAGGTTTGAGGGGACAATTCAGTGGGACTCTCCGTTGACTGAACTGCCCTCTCCTCGGGGTGAGGAGGAGCAGGAAAGCCCCTTCTCTGTGTTTTCTGAGCTGGAGCCATTCTGGTTGTGGTAGTCAGCCAGTGAAGTTGCGCTGGAGGATGTGGCTGAGGTGGACGAGGGTTTAGCCTTCTCCTTAAAGTCTGTTATGATGACCGTCAGATCCCCGACCGTCACCTCCAGGTGCTGGGCACTACTCCTGTCGATGTTTTTTAATCTCGGCCTGATGGGTGGGGGTAATGTTGGGGAAAATGAAAATATAATGAAAAAAAACAAAAAGAAGGGTTTAAGACTATTTGTTTACAATCTTGCTTGACTGATATTTTTTCTGGTGTTCTCCATCTTCTTCACTTCTATCTTCCTAAGTTTATTCTGGCATTAGACAACATATTAACCTAGGTTCAGTTAGCAATATAAACAGCATTTGTATTTTCTAGTGCTTATTCATGCATCCCTTTAATATCTGATTCCCGTTGATCCCCCCAACCTGCTGTCAGCCTGTTTACCTCATCTTCTTGTGACTGTTCTTCTTGAGCACTGGCTCTCTGTCGCTCTTCTCCCTCTCCACCCTCTCCTTCTTTTCCTTTTTGGGCTGCGAGGGCAACACAAACTGCTGTGTTACCTGCTGCTGCGAAACCAGCTGTGAGACAGGGCGAGGCTTCCTGGTGAGGGGGAGGAAGGAGGATTGGAGGGTAAAGACAGAAACGTAAAGACAGAGACAGAAAGGGGGGGAGACGGAGTGTGGCAGATTAATGAGAGGGAAAATTGCAGTGAACACATGGCTTCATGCGAGTGCACCACCTTAATCAAGAGCCAATAATCACTGCCAGGGCTGGTTAGGATGGTGCTGCTGAAGTGTTCTGCACTGGCAGTAAGTGGCAACACACACTGAGTGCCCTCGGGGTAAAACTTAAGATTCAGACAAATGTGAGATATGTAGTATACCTGCACGTGCTTGTTTTAGTGCTCACAGGGATACACACTGCCAAAATGAAATCTGTTTTAGTGAAACAAAGTTGTGACAGGAGCTGTAGGTGTATAAAACATACAGAATGTATAATATAACAAGTATACACATACGTAGTTTTACTAATAAATGAAGCACCTCCACAAAATGCTAAAGACATAAACATATGAAATGTAACACACTAAACTATGCTTAACTAGATGTTCCTAATCACAGTTATATTTCCTTCCTCCATGAAGGTCTGCAGTCTAAAACATGATGCATTATGCAATTAGTCTGGCAACAGTTTGACTGCATGAATACGGCAATCATATTTCTGTGCAGGAGTGTGTGTCTCTGTGTGTGAGAGTGTGTGTTCTGGGGGTGGCAGAGACCCTAGCCGAGAGGCAAGAGTGCTGAAAAGGCCATCTGTTGAGAGAGTCTACACATCTAGTGCCTGATTTTGCACACATGCAGACACAGTTCCATGTCTGAATGTGCCTATAATATGCACATCCCAGCATGAAGAAACGGCACCAAAAAATCTAATTTGTGTGTTCAAAATCAAAACCGGGTGTGCACGAAAAGGCATGCAACAGACAATACATACACTAACACACGTTTACGCACATGGGTGCACACATGCATGCCTGAAAACACACAGACACACACAGCAGTGAGTGTATGAAGCATGAGAGCATGATGACAACAGCAGGATAGCATGGTGTTAGTTTTCTGAGCCCTGCTGAGCAGTTGCATTTGTAATCAGAGCTGTTAAAGCTATTTTCATATTTCATGAGCTAGTTTTACTGTTTTACCACCTTTGTACAAAGTTAATACAGGGCCACAGACTTGCAATAACTGTTTCCACCAATGATCTTCTCCTAGCCTCGGACAAAGGACTTGTCTCCATACTTGTCCTCTTAGATCTCAGTGCTGCTTTTGACACCATTGATCACAGCATCTTACTGCAGAGACTTGAACATGTTATTGGGATTAAAGGAACTGCACTAAGTTGGTTCAAATCTTATTTATCAGAAAGCTTTCCATTTGTTCATGTTAATGATTAATCTTCCACACAAACTGAAGTTAGTCATATGGTTCCACAGGGCTCTGTGTTAGGTCCAATTCTCTTCACTTTATACATGGTCCCTTTAGGCAATATTATCTGAAGCACAGCATAAATTTACATTGCTATGCAGATGACACTCAGTTATATTTTTCTATGAAGCCAAATGAATCAGATCAGCTGGTCAAACTTCAAGCATGTCTTAAAGACATAAAGGCCTAGATGGCCTGTAACCTCTTACTTCTAAACTCTGACAAAACTGAAGTCATTGTCAGTCATCCGTTGTACAAATCTGGGGATAGGCACAATTTCACAAATTACAAGCCAGTTTCCCTGCTATTACAATTTTCAACGATCTTAGAAAAACCTTTTAATAACAGATTGGATATATTTATAGACACACATAAAATCCTTTCTGAAAGTTAATATGGTTTTAGATCGAATCGATCAACATCATTGGCCATAACTGAACTGATGAAGGATATTAGTAGTGCCATGGATGGGAAGAAACACACGTTGGGAATATTTATTGATCTAAAAAAAGCATTTGATACAATAAATCATGAAATATTAATTAATAAATTAGAAAGATATGGGATTATGGGAATGGTTTTGAAATGGATCACAAGTTATTTGACATGTAGGTGTCAATTTGTGAAGTTGGGTGACAGTCGAATGAGTTTGATATCATATGCGGAGTCCCCCAAGGTTCAGTGTTGGGTCCTAAATTGTTTATATTATATATTAATGACATTTGTAAAGTATCTGAAGTATTGAAATTTGTTTTATTTGCTGATGACACTACTATATGGGCATCTGGTGAGAAGTTACAGCAACTTTTTGGATTGATTACTCAGGAAATGGATAAAATAAATAAATGGTGTGATAGAAATATATTATCTCTAAATTTGGATAAGACTAAATTTATGGTATTTGTTAATCGACGGCTGGATAATCAACTCCAATTAAGGGTGTCATAATCAATGATAAAATTTGCTGGAAATCTCACATCAAAAATATACAAACCAAAATGGCAAAAAGTATCTCTATACTGGCAAGGGTTAAACATATTCTGGATTGGAAAACACTTCATATTTTGTATTGTTCATTGATTTTACCATATTTAGATTATTGTGTTGAAAGCTGTCGAAATACATACAAAAGTACACTTCAGCCATTGTACATATTGCAAAAAAGGGCAATGAGAATTGTCCATAAACTTGATAACGAGATCACACTAATGCATCATTTATACAGTCTAAAGTATTAAAATTTTTTGATTTAGTGGAATATAAAACTGCTGTGTTCATGTATAAAGCTAGGAACAATTTATTACCAGGTGGAATTCAAAAATTGTTTAATGAAAGAGAAGGGGATATAATTTAAGGGGTCAGTTGAATTTAAAAATTCATTCTATACGTACAACTAAAAAAAGATTCTGTATTTCTATAAGTGGTGTAAAATTGTATAATAAGTTAAGGGAGGATTTAAAATATTGTACTAGCATAGAACAATTTAAACATAAGTACAAAAGGGTTTGTAATGTAAGGTACATGAATGAGGAGGTGTGATGGCGGACTAGACTGAAGCATTGTCTGTGTGGTGTATGAAGATGATGTTTGATGTATAGACATTGAATATAGGCTTGCGTTTTGAATGGTGATGTTAAAGGGAATTTAGTCTTGTATGGAGAAATTAATGTGTTATTGGAATAGTTAGTATAGGAAGCACTGTGTGCATGATGAAGAGAGGGTATTATAATGGGATGAGATAGACCGTGGGGTAGTTGGCTTGATGCCGGACGTGGGTGCATGGCGTGGCTGGTCTATGTTTAATTTAAGGGATTGGTCGATGAGGAAATTGGTGGGTGTTGTGAAATGAGCCTTCCCTGGCACTGCGTGGGTTATGTTTGGCGCACGTGTCCCAGTGTTTGGGCGGGGGCCCTGGCTTTCGGGGCGGCTGTGCTTGGGTGCTGGGGCATGGGTATGGGGCGGGGCCTGTGCGGTGCTGGGGCGGTTTGTTTGGTATGTACAATGGATAGGGTGGTGATAGGATGGATATCTGGTGGCTGTTGGGGACTGGCACTGCTGTGGGTCTGAGTGTCCGGTGTTGGGCTAGTGGTACCACGGTCTAAGAAAGGGGGTAGGACTAGATAAGTGTATACTTCTTCCTACTCCCTTTCAAGCATGTACTATTGGAATGTTGTGATGTTTTATGCGCATTGGTTATATGGTTATTATTTTTGTAATTGTGTGTATACATGAGTGTATATATATATAATTTTCTTTTATATGCTTGGAAAAAATAAAGGAAAAAAATTGTGCTTGGGCCTGAATACCTTAGAAATCTGCTGTCTAATCATATAGTTACTTCAGATGACATAGCTTTCACCTCCAGTACTACTGTGAGGAACCTTGGAGTCATTTTTGATCAGGATATGTCCTTTAAATCACACATAAACCAACTCTCTAGAACTGCCTTCTTTCACCTGTGCAATATTGCAAAAATCATGAGCATCCTGTCTCAAAGTAATGCTGAAAAACTTTAAAAAATTTGTTTGTCTTGCATTGCTGAACATAAGTATTTGAACACCTGAGAAACAGCAAGAATTCTGGCTCTCAAAGACCTGTTACTGTGCCTTGAAAAAGTCCACCTCTACTCCACTCATTAATCTAAATTAGTAGCACCTGTCTGAGCTCCTTAATGGGTAGGGCTTCTATGTTCAGTAGGTAACATGTGAAGTGCACTCCCTACACCTACCAGCGGGTGTCTCTCTAACACAATATTCACAGGCTGCAGTGCTGTTCAATTATGTGTGGGTGGGAATATGGGAGATGGAGATATAAAAAAATGAAAGACTTTATTGCTTTGGGGGACACACATGCATATATGGCATACATATGTATATGCGAACTCATGCACAAGCAAAGACACTCAAAGGATGGGGGCAGCAAGAGAAGCAGCTGGGGATCCAATAAATTAGAGATGATTGAAGATTACAGTTTAATATAACAAATCTGTGGGACCTTCAGCTCAGTTCACTCAAATTAAAGGAGCACACACACAGTTTCCATAGTGATGATGAAGTGATTCAGGAGTATGCCATAAAAAATGACCATCTGTCAATACCCTTAAATTATTCTCATGATTGTTCTCATGATGAAACAACTACAGCCACCCAGCTACATTATGAAGGATCATCACAGGATTTTACTCCTCTCCACCAAATAAAAGCTTCAAGCACTACTCTAAATTCAAATCACTTTGAAAATACTAGCCCACATTTTTTATTTTTAAGGACATTATTTCCTTTTATGTCATGTTGCATTAATGCATAAATGATGAAGAACAACACTGACAAAGACTCTATTGATGGAAGAAGAGGAGAAAAGGGAGAGGAGATGTTCTCTGCTAAAGAGAGCTCAGTTAACCACAGATGGAGACAGTGGGTCGGCAAGCCAGTGCCAGCGCACACACACACACACACACACACACACACACACACACACACACACCACCAAACTTTT